TAGAGCATATTTCAAAACGGGACGCTTATCAGCACAAAGAAATATGATCCTTGGCTAAAGGATAAGAGATATAGCGATAGAATCCAATTAGGACTTTCCATGAGTATCAAGTCGCGCCAAGCAGTGGGATTTAATCTTCACTATAAATAGAGAAAGCTATGCAACGTTCAAGCCTCTCCAATTCAACACACAAACTGCCCAGCGCAAACTCTCGCTCTACGCGAAACCTCTCAACAACCTTGAGATTTTTTTATTTTCTTTTTCCACCAACATATCTTCAGTTTGGATAAACAGGACTGTGAAGGCAACTGATGACATCTTCAATTTGGTTAAACAGTATTGTTGTCGTAGAATCAGCTGACCACGGAGCACCTTCAGTTCGAATAAACAACACTGCGTCGAGGTCGACTGGTTATCTATCCAAGTCTCGGTCAAGAAAGATTTTCGAATCCTTATTAGTAGAGGTCATCTCATTAGCCTTCTCGGCAAAGTGAGGTGTTACAGGTTACTCCATTCGGCACATTGAAAGTCTTATTTGATATTGAACTTCGCAGAACCAGTAGCCTTGTCTTCAGGCTCTAGAACCCGAAAGCCGAGACATGGTCCTTCCTCCACCGCAATCGCAAGATCAAGAAGTCAGTAGAGCGCCCAACGCGACATCAACACATTTTACTCCTCAGCTGAGCTTGATCGACGAGTTGGCACGCCCCGCACACCACCGAATGACGTAGTTAGCTTATTAATTATTCAGCATGCACGCCACGTAGGCTTGGTAGTTTTTAGGGTCAACATTTTGGCACGCTCAGTAGGACCCAGTGCTAAAACTACAAAGTTCACATGATAGATCAAGATCTCATTCAGGTTCCGTTGGACGAAATTTGGCGCCAAGTAAAGAATTGCTACAAGAAGAAAGCAAAACTCCTTGAGAAGTTGTCTAGAAGATAGGAGCAATTTTCTGCTCTAACCACAATCAAAATTCCGCCTAGAATAATTGTTAAGACAGCCGAAGAAAAACCTAGGCCACCTATTTTTTTGGTCGAGACTAAAAATTCTGTTGGCCTAGAAGTAAAAGTTCAAGTTTCTGAGCCAAAAATCGACTTAGAAAATGATTCGTCAGAGTGCTCCAATGACAAACAAGGCCGAGACATAAGCCTAGCCAGAAAAACCACGCCAATCGATATGACTATTGGCGATAAAGCCGATATAGAGAAATCTCATTCGACTAAGTTTTTCGAGTTAAAAGCCGAAATTGGCGAAATTATTATGCCCGGGGGGCTTAATAATTGTTCAACGCATTCAGCGGCTAAGAAGAAAAAATATTTTGCCAAATTAAAAGTATTTGGAAATGATTCTTTATTCGGCCTAAAGTGAAATCAAATTGAGAATTTTGATATAAAAAGATCTCGGCTAGGAATAAAGCATCGTTGGCCTCCTCCTGATTATGAATCGGCCACTTTTACTTTCGTTTGCTAATATATATATATATATATATATATATATAATGAATAAATTATTTTCTTAACCATTCGGTTTTTCAGCCGTTACGTAAGAAAATAAGGGGGGCAGCATTGTGTCATGCTAATTTACATTCAGTTAGGCTTTTGTCATTACCAAATACATCAAGATGCTTTTCACCGAATAAATATTTGTGTTGGGCGGTGAAGTTTGTTGGTTGGTATTCAGCCGTAGTGATTGTGTCACTCTAGTCTTCAAAATTACACTCGACCGAGTCCCACACGTTTGGAAATATGATTATTGGGTCTCTGCGTATGGTTGCACTTATTGAGAAGATGATATTATGCATGTATGGTGCCATGGTGGGCTCTCACCAGTGTTGAAAAAATATAAATTGGCATATGTGGAGAAAGGTGATAAACTTCTTTGGTGGGGTGGTTGTACTTTCTTTAACTTTTTGCCATATATTTCTTCGACCATAACTGTCCTCGACCATATATTTCTTCGACCGTAGCTGTAATGATAAACTTCTTTGTTATCGACAACGATGTATAAAGTGTGCATAATGGCCTCAAACTTCAACATGCAATCGGTGGGAGTTGTCTTTCTTCCTAGACATCAACGCCTCAGCTACTTTGCCTTGCTAAAAAAGAAAATCAGATTTTCATAGCACATGGAATCATACGAGGAGGTGGAAGTTCTCTATGTAACAAAATCAAGAGCAAGGGTAACAGGAGGATCATGTTCAAAAGGGGTGATGTGTGGTACGAACGACTAAACATTTCTGCACTCACCAAGAGATATATGCGTGAACTCATTCTTGCTATATTTGCACGCACTGACTCAGCAGTGGTTTAGGTGCTACCAAGAATCAGTTTTCTTGGCCCAATTCTCTCGGCTACCTATCTTTTTCTTGGCCCAGTTTTCTCAGCCCTATTTGCAAGTTTTGTTTCTCGACCGTATGAATTGGTCGAGCTCGACCACAGTATAATTCGGCAAGGCAACGTTTGCAATAGGACAAATCTCGGCCAAAAAGGATGGCATGCAAAGATTTAATGATCATAATTCATTTGGTATTTGTATTGGCTGAGGGGACCATGATGTTATTTGGTTGTGATTTGATTATTGCCGAGAGAGATTTTTTCTGGCGATACAACGACATTTTATTGGTATAGATGATTAATTTTCTTAACCATTCAGCTTAAAAGCCGAAGCTCAAGGAAACTGGGGGGCAATTTTTGGACCCAATTTTACACTATTGGCCCGAGTAATAGAGGCCGTTGAATGAGCAGAATTTCAGACCGTTGAATGACAAAGTGGTTGAAATGATTTTAAATTATTATTGAGAAATAATATTGTGATTTTAATCATGATATTATCTCTTAGTAATATATTAAATTATTTAAACCTAATTTTTGTCCAAATCCCAATTGATTCGTAGGATGATAGAGCATAAGCATACTGGCCTTCATGCATGGTCATGGCTAAATATATCAGCATGGGGATTTGATTAGAATTGTTGGGATGCATGGTCTTTAGAATTGTTGGGATGCATGGTCTTCATGCACGCATTGGTAACTTGCAAATGGGATAAGTTCCAGTGGCAAATTGGATAGGTATCTGCAACGTGTAGAACATCAAGGCATTTTATCAAGAGTCCTAATACATTACTGCATTGTTGGCAAATGGATATTGATTGGCAGAGATATTAATGCACGCATAAAGATGAGGATGCCAAATTGGATTTGGTCAGCCACGTGTGCTTGGCGTTGGTCAGCCATACATGCATATTATTAGAGCATATTTCAAAACGGGACGCTTATCAGCACAAAGAAATATGATCATTGGCTAAAGGATAGGAGATATAGCCCATAGCCAAATGCAATTCCACAAGATAGAATCCAATTAGGACTCTCCATGAGTATCAAGCCATGCCAAGCAGTGGGGTTTAATCTTCACTCTAAATAGAGAAGGTTGTGCAACATTCAAGCCTCTCCAATTCAACACACAAATTGCCATGTGCAAACTCTTGCTTTCCGCAAAACCTCTCAACAACCTTGAGATTTTTTATTTTCTTTTTTCACCAACACATCTTCAATTTGGATAAACAGCACTGTGAAGGCAACCGGTGACATATTCAATTTGGATAAATAGCACTGTTGTCGTAGAATCAGTCGACCGCGGAGCACCTTCAATTTGGATAAACAACACTGCGTCGAGGCCGACTGGTTATCTATCCAAATCTCGGTCAAGAAGGATTTTTTAATCCTTATTGGCAGAGGTTATCTCATTAGCCTTCTCGGCAAAGTGAAGTGTTACAAGTTACTCTATTCGGCACATTGAAAGTCGAATTTGATATTGAACTTCGCAGAACTAGCAGCCTTGACTTCAAGCTCTAGAACCCGAAGGCCGAGATATGTTCCTTCCTCAGCCGCAGTCGCAAGATCAAGAAGTCAGCAGTCTGCCCAACGTGACATCAACACATTTTACTCCTCGGCTGAGTTCAGTCGACAAGTTGGCACGCCCCGCACACAACCGAAGGATGTAGTTAGCTTATTAATTACTCAGCATGCGCGCCACGTAGGCTTGGTAGTTTTTAGGATCAACAACTATCTTTTAGGTAGTGTCCTAATAAGATGTATTACTTGAAAGACAAAGATTTTTCATTTCTTACTACTATAAATAAAGCCACAATAAATTGAGATAATACACACCTCAAATTTCACTAATTCTCTCTTTTTTCTCTCTTGCCGCCACATGAACCTTCTTCCCCTATAATTATTCAGTTAAGTTTTTTTATGCAAGCATCACTTGAACTTCTATGCATGTGCGATAATACCACCTAAACTTTCAATTTTCATTTTTTACCATATGGACTCTCTTAACTATTAGAATCAACCATTTACGTTACTTTCCATCTATCTTGCCGTTAAAACATGTCACTTGTAGTGGTATTTTCATCAATTAATTTCGTGGGGTTGACTAGAATCAAATTGACTCCAAAATAATACTTCCCAAGTCAATATGGCGCCAAATTGGTGGCTTGTACAATCTCAGTTTGACAGTTCCCTCCATAAGAGTTTGAAAAATTAATATTTGAATAAATTAAGGTGAACTACACACCACTTCCTGACCTACATAAGAAAATCACAAAAACTCACTGTAAATGAAAGACTAGATTTTTGCATAATTTTCACCTCAATTCTTCAACAACTCTTGCCAAAATCAAACCGGAAATCAACTTCTCCATTTTCTTCATGACCACTCCTACGCCGCTACAAAAAAATACATTTTGACTTCATAAAAAGTGATTCCAACGAACCCTAGAAAGTAATTGACAAAGATATCCCTTCACGTGAGGGGTGCCTGACATGTTTTAAGCGACGTAGATGGTAGATTTCAACCTTTAAGAGAGTTTAGTGGTAAAAATTAAAAAATTATAAGTGCAGGTAGTATTGACCCACATGCTTGATAGTTGAGGTGATACTTGTGTAAAAATTCCATACAGTTATATAAGCCAACATCATTCGGAAAATTATAAGGGAAATTTGTCATTCTAAAAAATAGTTGAAAAGATGGTGTGAAAAAAGATGCTTCATCTCCGCAGAATGCCAGTAGCCATTGTCAAACATTTGCTAGGGAACGAGTCAGATTTAGGTACTACAAACCCTATTACCTGAGCTTCCTCAAGCAGCTCTACCGTCAGACCCGTCTTTTGTAGAGAGTGAAAGGGTGAGAAAATGAGCAATGCAAGTAGCTTGGTTGCAGAGGCAGTGTGGAAGGCGATTGAGTCAACTCGTTCAGTCACCAACGATCAGCTCTCCGTGTTAGTCTCTACTCATCACATTTCAAATTCCCTTTTAATTTCGTTTGAATTAATTGTTCCAATTTGTGTTATTGAGTGTTTGGTTACTGGGAAAATTTCAGCCTGCATTTCTTGTTTGGTAAGAACTGGGAGAAAGCAACGAGGATAGTGGATCAGAGTGGTATCAAGAGGGTTTTGGGTGAGCCCAGTGGACGTTCCATCTTTCAGGTTTAATTTTTGCAAATCAAATTCTGGGTTTGTTTTGCATACTTGTTTTGTTTTCCACTAGATTTAGTAGCTTGGATGAACATTACTTGAAATTTGGATGAAACTACTTGAATTTGAGCACAAATTTGTTTGTTTTATGCTCTTGTTTAGCCAAAAAGATAAGAAACTTGGTCACTCGTGTAAATCAAATCTGGAAATGAATCATGTTCGTTTGGGCCAAATAATCATAAATTTATTTGATGTAAAGTGAAAAATGAAATCCCAATTCTCATTTTCTGTTGTCTGTTTAGGTCGTCGGAGAATCGCGGAGGAAGGAGGAGTGCTTCTGCTTTGCCGAGCAGTATTGTGCTTGTTATTCATTCTTCTACGACATCATAAACAAAGGAGAGCAGCTTTGTGTGAGTGAGCCTCCTCTCTTGCTCATCCAATTTTTCAATTGATTCGAGCGTTATTCTAATCAATCTAATCTAAACGACGTGGAGGGATATTCAAACTTCCTTATCCATTTTTAAGTTCCTTGAAATCAAAAACGAAAAAAGTAGGAAAGTGTTGTAATTTTTACCATGTTTCTTGTTGTCCGGTGTAAGCATCAGTTAGCTGCAAGGCTTGCTGCATCATTGGGAGCATGCATTGAAGTTAAGGTCTCTGATGAGCAGCTGGCTCTACACCTTTCCAAACCCTGAAATGTTTGTACATGTTTTGCATGGCTACTTGTTTAACAACGCAAGCATGTATATCTTCCGGTTTTATTTTTTATTGAACATTTATTACAACAACGATTTTGTAACAAGAACATCAAGGAACAAGTCTCTGAGATTTCATCCTGTCAATCCAAGTTAAAAACGACGTCTTTGAATTCCTGAACCCCACAAAACCATGTTCTTTGCTCTTGTTCATGCTGTCCAGACTTGTCTCAACTCCAAACAATATATCCACAAACCACCAGTTGCCAACTTCTTCCAACTTGGTAGGAACCAGACCCTTCTCTTCCACAATCTCGTCCCACACCGGCCCCTTATCTTTCATCATCTCCTCCAAGCTCGCCTCCGATCCGCCCTCCTCGCCAAGGTCCTCAATCTCAAGCTCGAACTGCTCTGCCAAAACCCTGAACATATGCTTCCACTTAAACACATCCCCATTGCTGCAATTGAAAGCCTCATTCTTGGCATATGGATCAACTGCTGCCCAAATCTGGTGCTCGGCTATCAAGTCAGCGTCCGAGACATCCCAGTACCCGTTCCACGCCCCTCTGCTCCCCGTAAACCTCAGTTTCTTCCCCTCGTGCTTACATATTGCGGCATAAATGCAGAGGCTCCCCACAATGTTCATCAAGCTATAAGGCGAAAACCCGAATATCACGCTAGGCCTGTGCACTGACCATGTCAAACCCTCCTTTTTCTTCACCTCCTCAAACAAAATGTCCTCCAATGTGTGGTAAAAATTGGGCACGTCGAGCCTCGGAAGGTCTTCGTGAAACGGTGGCTCATGAGGCTCGACCTTGCCCAACATCTCAAACGGACCGAGATAGTGCTTCCGGCCCGTTTGCAAGCATATGTGCTGCAGATTTGGTGCATTTGGGATCACAGCATCCAGCAAGTTCCGAAACATGTTGCCGTTGACCTCACAGTTCTCAGCTTCCGTGGGCTTACTTGCCCACGTCACATAAAATACATGAGTGACATCGGTCAGCTGGGACAGCTGAGCATGTGTTTGATGAGGGTCTGAGAGATCACACTGAATGTATTCAATCGAATGATCAGCGTTCCACGCCGGACGAGGCCGGCGGGCCACACCATATACCTTCCATGGCCCGCCGGGTGTGTCGGCCAGGGGGAGAATCTCGGCAAGGCTATTGCCGACTATCCCAGTGATGCCGAGAACCAGAGCCACGCTCTGGTATTTGGGCGGCACATCATTGGGATCAAAAGTTTTCTGTTGGTGACGGTGAGGCTTGTTAGAAAATGATCATGGAAACTAATTTGGAAGATTGAAGGAAGAAAAAAAGAATGGGTTTGTGGAGAAAGGGCTTACCTTTGCAGCTCCAATGGCTCCTGCCCACCACCAGCTCATTTTTGTGTTGTTTCTGGTTCCTCCTGCCCACCACCGCTGCTACTTTCTGAGCATAATGGTCATCTGTTATATTTGGGAGATGGGAATCTTATCTTCAAACCTTTGCGTGGTGACTATCCTTTTTTCGGTGGCCATTTATGTCTGGTTTTGCTGTCGTGTCAGTTTGGGACTGGTTTTGCCGTCACGACGCTTATTCACGTCCTTTTTTCGGTGGCGATTTTCACACGTTACGTTTAGTTATTCACATCCCTTTTTTTTTTTTTTATTAATCACTATCGAAATAAATAAATAAGATATAATTAAACATTAGTACATGAGAGATTAAAAATGATGTGTGTTTACCATTTTTTTTATAAACTCATTCAAAAACTAAAAATTTGCATCAAGTGCAACTAAAGACGCTACCTACGCAGCAGACTAATCAAATGAGCTAGTCAGCTAATTATAAATTTGTCAGTGACACAAAGCACAACTGCAAAAAATAAACTTATGATGCGTTTGTTTGCTTTCACGAACTTTAAACTGGATTGGACTGGATCATACTACTTATTACATCAGTCTCATGTTTGTTTCATGCTTGATTAAGTTTAATGAAATTAAAGAGAACTCAGCTCAACTAAAACCTTCACTAGAAGGTCTTAACGAGAACCCCGAAAACAACGGGACTGGCTAAGATCGTGTACCGCTTCAATCTCGGACTTGTCGTTCACATGATTGACAATGGACCTGCATCGCCGCCAATGGTCTTCGTGGAAACCCAAATCCTCAAAACACGAGATCTTTGTGAACCCAATGGTTCGTTATGAACCCAATGGTTCGTTATGAACCCAATGGTTCGTAGGGAACATGATGGGGAGGAACGTGAGGAGGCTCATGAGCCACCCGGTGCACTTGATGGAATATGGAAGGCCGAAGACGCCGGCACCCACGATGGCAATGAAGATGCTAGTGAAGGTCTTGGATTGGGACGACAGTGGCTTGAGTCATTCATCTTTATTTTTTATTTAATTTGGGTTTTGATTTTGCATTGAGTTTTGATTTTGAGCTGGATTTTGATTTAATCTAGAATTGGCTTTTGATTGATCTGCAACTGCGGAATAGGGGTCGGCTTTCGAGAGAGAGGACGAGATTTTTAAGAAAAAAAAAAAGAATTAATAACAAAATATTAATACATATGATTAAATAATATAATATTAGAATTTGTTAATTCTCTTACTTCTTAGTCTAACACTACATCAAACGTTTCATCAAGCCAATGCAGCATAATCAATTCTAAGCCAATCCATTTCAATCATCAAGCTAATCTAGTCCGAAAAAGTCTGGTTACAATATAATTCACAAAGTTGAACACATTCACATATCAATTTATTAAGCAAGCACTATGACAGCAAGTAGCATTAACAAGTATATGTGCAACCAAGTCAAAGTACACACGTCAAAGTTCCGAAAAACCAAACAGAATCCTCTCTGCATCCTTTCGATGTACATGAACGGACAATGTACAATGTACGATGAACGGACATTGTACGATATACGATAAACGATGTACGATGAACGGACAAGATTGACGGATCTTCCTCCGTCAAGGACCCGGCTTCCCCGAAAAAAAAAAAAAAAAAAAAAAAAAACCTTAACTCAGTTAAAAAATTGGGGGCCGGTCCACTAGTGTAAAATAAATATTCATACAAAGTATACCACAAAAGCTCAATTCCTATACCTATTTTATGGAGCAGCTTGTACCTTTATGCAACATTCACCTAGCAGCATTACATTCAGTATTCACAAAGATGGCATATCCATCTTCTGAACTCATCATTTTGTGGCACCGAGAACGGAATCAAAACTATGCAAATGATACAGAAATGCGAGATGCAACTTTGGATTCTACAAATACAAAGTCAGTTTCTTCAAATAAACATATGATAAAAGCAACCGAAAATCCTTCACTAAGATCTATATGAAGATTTGAAAATATACTTGAGATCAGGACGCCATGCAAACATTCCCATGAAACATATGTGGGTGAGTTAGCACCAAGTTTTTGAACAAGAGAAAAATGATTTGCAGGTCTGAGTTTACAATGACAAACACAGAAAGGAGGTCTTGAACCCGTAAAACACTCTCTTGGTTATGATAATGTTTCAACCCAAAAACAAATGAGTTTGGAATTAAGGATTTAAGCAAGCATTTTCATAGATATTTTTAGAGATTTTCAACCAAGAACTTTATCCATGAAAATGCTTGTAGCTTCTGGGGTTACTAAGCTGGAGAGGAAAGAAAAAACACTCTCTTGAAGATGGTATCCGAAACCCCAAAATCCAATGACCACCACCCAAAGCTTCTTATCAAGAAAATGTTTTCTTTGGAGTAGCTGTGATTAATCGAAACAAAGTACTAAGTTTAGATTTAACAAACACGTTTCAGATGCATTTTATCTACGAATTGTGATTAATCGAAACAAAGTGCGTACACTAGAATAATCCAAACAAATTGATGATTCTATTATCATTGAGCAACAAACAATTGCATGTAGCTAGTCTCCTATTTTTCATACAAGCGACATTAGAGAAAAGGTGAACCGAACGCAGAACCTCGAATGCAGGTATGTGCTGTTCGTTTCATGGCATAATATTCTTGAATAAAAATCCTACTCTTATCAGAAAATGTGTGTAGTTTTCTTCTTGCTCAGTTTCTCACCAATAGCAATGGGCCAAACTGCAGGCAATTAATGCGAATGATGAAGTCATATGCATGATTATCTGTAACTCCAAGGGCAACCATATAATATATTTACTTAAAGAAACCATGAATGTGATCAATAAACGTGGTACGAATAGGATCACGCAAAACTTTAATTATTGGCTCATATACAGATAAACAAGCAAAGTATAAGGAAGATACATAATTAGATTCGTTTATAACGTTCAATTATAATCTCGGATAAAACTTTAAAATCCCAAATAGAAAAGTTTAACCTTTGATCATACAAAAGATTGTTGCTATCAAAATAAACAAAGCTGCTGCAGTTACAGGCAAGTTTTGTTAACGACGAAGAGTTAATTGTACATACCTCGAAAGTTACTCAGCACCCGCTGCTTCATCTCAGCTTTATCTATACAAAATACGCTGCAGGCCATTTAAATTGAAACTGAACAAACATGTAGCTTAATTTGTTCAGTTACAAAATATTCACAATGTCCTGCAGCTAGCCTTTCCGAGAAACAACAAAGTCATGTACAACAAGACGATTACATCCTCCTCGTCTCCATGCCCGAACAAAATATATATAACATGAGCATCACAAGAGGTAATGAACGACTTGATGTACAAAAGCCTTCAAGGCTCAAACTAAGCCAATCGAGCAGCAACCCCATTCATACAGGAGAAACTAATTATGACCACTTATTTTTAATTCGGTCTAGTAATCTAGACTCCTCCCCCTCGGAAATATGCGGATTAAGATTGCGAAGGTTATTGACAAACTTAACTCCATCATCCCGTCGGTTGTGCTTACAGTACCAATCCACAATGGAGTTGTATGTGTTCTGGTTTGGTTTGCAGCCATTCTTAATCATGTAGTGGACCACATCAATAGCTTCCTCAAACAATGAATCAGATGCATAACTTGCCACAAAGGTATTGTAAGTGATCACATCTGGAGAAATCCCAGCGCCCCTCATTTCTGAGAATATCCGTGAAGCCTCTCTCATATGACCATTTCTACAATAGGCAAAAATGACAGTGTTGTACGAAATTATATCAGGCTTTGTTCCCTTCTCCATTATCTCCCTTAGAAACTGTTCTGATTTCTCGAAATCTTCTGAGCGACTGTACATATACATCAAACTATTGTAAGTTGTCAAGCTAGGAGTATATCCCATCTCATTCATAAATTTCAAAATCTCACTTGTCTTCGAAAACATCTGCCTCCGGCCATATATTGATAGCATCGCATTCAAGGTAGTTATGTCAGGTGAAAACCCTTTTCTTCTCAGTTCCAAGAAGGCATGTTCTGTTTCCATCAAGAGGTCACTCTTACTAAAAACGAGAACAAGTGTCTTCAAGAGAACAACGTGGGGTTCAATTACACCAGAGTATATTTCTTCAGCAAGAATATGCATGCGCTCATTTTCCTTGCCATTGGCATAAGCGTGGAGCAGAGAACTATATGTAAGCTCATTGGGTTTGCAGCGACCATTCTGCATTTCGGCAAGTATTTTCTCAGACTGTTGCCAAAGGCCACCTCGAGCCAGTGCTGCCAAAACAGCATTATAGGAGGAGAGGTCTGGAGTAACACCAGCTTCCAGCATTCTTTTATACACAGCCATAGCTTGGTCAAAAGAACCACACCGGCTGTATGCACTTATTAGAGTGTTGAAAGTATCCCTCTCCGGTACAAACCCTGCTCTCTTCATCTCCCTGAACACTCCTGAAACTTCCGAGTCCATCCCGTTTTGGCCAAACACAGCCAAAAGTGTGTTCCAAGTAACTATGTCAGGGGTGCACTTACATATCTTAATCTCTTCAAAAACTTTCATCATCTCAGCAAAATTTCCCCTGTTACCATGCATCTTAATAAGGGCGTTAAAGGTACAAATGTTTGGTTTGCAACCAAAACTTTTCATCTCCTCAAAAACTCTCATTGCTGGCTCATCCTTCCCAGCCTTCTCATATCCTGACAAAAGGGTGGTGTAAGTAAAAACATCGGGTTTAATCCCTTTCTCCACCATCTGGGTTTTCAGGGCTGTTGCCTCCTCCAGCAAACCATCTCTTGCATAAGCCGATATCAACGAATTGTAAGACACAATGCTGGGAGAAAACCCATTAAACTCCATGTCCTTCAATACCTCCATTGCTTCCTTTGTCCGCCTAGACTTCCCATATACATCCAACAATGCATTATATGTAACCTTATCAGGCACAAACCCATCTGTTTTCATGTCCTGAAAAACCTCAGCAGCCTCCACATACAAAGACCCGCGCCTACAACAAGTAATAAGCGTATTATATGTATAAGAATCTGGGGTAATCCCGGCACTTTTCATACCCTCCACAAGAGCTCTAATCTTGTGCCAAGGCATACCCATTTTTCCGTACACATTCAAAATCACATTGTAAGTTA